CTGTTCTGGTGCTCTGCTGCGAGTGCAATCTACACATGAGCTCGATGCAGCTACCCATATAAAATTTTTGGTAATACCTAGTTTGAATTCTCATCTAAGCTCATTTTAGGGCTTCTTTTGCATGTTGGGTCTGGGGTGCAGTGGCTGAAGGGAAGGGCTTATGCTTCATCTTAACATAAATCTATATTCTCTCTAAGATCTGGCAGTAAAACCTGGTTAATCAAGCAGCTTTGCAATGAGTAAGAAGAGCCATGGACGAGGATTTTTAGGCATTCAGATGGGAAAGAACATGCCATTGAAATGTGTTTCCCTTGAAGACTTTCTCAGTGGCTCTACAGAAGAGTCAGGTTGTGCTTGATCTGTCTCTCACACTCCCTGCATTCCATGTCCACAGTGCTCAGCATTCTGCTGTGGCCTCTGGTGGTCTACCATGAGCTGATCCAGAGGATGTACACACGTTTGGAGCCTGTCCTGATGAAACTCGACTACAGTATGAAGGCAGAGACGCTGCACCACAAGCATGAGAAGAAGAGTAAGGAACCACCTTCTCCCTAGTTTTTTATGGTGTTGTAGCCATAGCAGAAGGACAATGGGAGATCATGTCTGCCAACACTCTGTGGTGACAGGCTGCAGGGGAGCAGGGGAAGAGAGGTGGAAACTTAAGGGCTAACTTTAAGGGTTATGTGGAGAGCAACTGTGTGCTTCCAGGTGATCCTGAGAACAGCACATGAGAGCTACAGATTATGCTTGTCTCCAGGAGCCCTGTGCACTTTCACAGAGGAAGTAGGGGATAGTGGTGTATAAAGGCAGAAAATTCCTTCAGTGTCAGGTAAAGCCTTTCTTCTCTTTCTCACAGAACGACAAGGGAAGAGTGAGCCTGCAGCAGGCGATGAGCCAACAGCAGAGACGGAGAGTGAGAGCGAAGCAGAGCTGTCAGGCTTCTCCCCAGTGGTAAGAGCTCACAGAGCTTAGCAGGAACCAATCCCTCCTCTCTGGTCTATAGCAGCCTGAGAGTCAAGGGGTGGTCTGAGTACAGCAACAATGACAACACACAGCAGAGCAATAAATCACTTCTTTGCAGAATTCAGAGAGGAAAAGGTCATGTGTTTGATGAAAGCCATCATCTCCAGTCTGGGTGTTGAGAATTTGGTGCCACAGAGCTGATGATGCCGCAGTAGGGCAGGGCCAGCCATGCCCCAGCCTTGTGCTGACCTCAGAATTACTTTGATGGTTATACTTCATGCTCAGAGAATGCAAGTGTCTCCTGAAGAAATTAACTTCCCTGCTGTAATGTGCAGGGGCTCCTCAAAACAGGAAAAGGGAGTTGAGCAGCTTTAGTGTCTCTTACACAGTTCTCTGCTTTCAGAGAGATAGTGTGTGACCTATATTTGCACCACATTAAAAAACCAAGCAGAAGCTCCTGGCATGTATCTGGGCTGTGAGGTGGGAAGCTTGTTTCCAAAGGAATGTGGATACTTGAACCACTGCTACTTGTAGAAGGCTTTGTTGCGCTCTGTGTGAATGCAAAAGGGAAGGGGTGTTTTCCTTGGTGATCCCAGGAGAAGAATAAGGATCAAAGCCTTCTGAGACTCCTACAGTCTCATCCCATCTTGTGCTGCCTCTTTTGTGTTCTTCACTGAGAGCAGGCAAACCTTCAGGCAGTGATTTATTGCAGGAAAGCCAGTGAGCTGAGACTGCCTTCCAGTGCAGGGAGCACTTTGCCAGCAGCATACTGTCCCTCCAGCAAGGACTTCTGCCTGGAAGGTCTGCAGGTGCCCATAGGCAGTGTAGGTACTTAGACACACAGGAATTTGTCTCTCTGCCTTCATCCCATGCAGGTGGATGTGAAGAAAACTGCCCTGGCACTGTCAATCACAGATTCTGAGCTCTCTGATGAGGAGGCTTCTATCCTGGAGAGTGGGGGCTTTTCTGTTTCAAGGGCTACCACCCCACAGCTGACGGATGTTTCTGAAGGTACATAATGGGACACCTTGCTGCCCCCTTATCCTCAGTGTTTTGGCCCAGAACAGTGGGTCATACAAATGGGAGGACAGGGAGAGAACCCAGGTATTTGCATAGAAAGAGCATTGAAAGGAGGAAGGAAAAGCAGTGCAAGCATGCCCTGACTTCATGGCTGATCATAAGCTGGGTTCTGAGTAGACATCAGCCTCTAATTATTGCCCCACAAAGTAATACGGTCTTGCGACTCCAGCTAGGGAGCAAGGCCACCCACAAAGTCCCACAGAAATAACTGAATAGAATAGTCACACACCAATATATGATACTGGGTGAAACAGGTCAGACTTACTAGCTCAGAGAAGGACTGGTTAGTGGTGAAGAACATGGAGGTAACCACTCAGTGGCCACTTGGGTGTCTAGGAAGGAGCGGGCAGGTGATGCAAGCACAATTTCCCTGACCATGGCAGTTTTAATGGGCAGCTCTAAATGCAGAGAGTGTGAGCTGGAGCAGGAAGTCCTCTCTCAGCACAGAGCACATAGAACAGGATCACAAAAGAAACATTATGTTGATGATTCCTCTCCGTGTGTGGAGACACGAGGCTTGACTCCATTTCAGAAGGCTGATTTATTATGTTAGATATTATATTAAAATGTTACATTAAAACTATACTAAAAAACCAAAGAAATCAGAAAACTACAACAAAAACAAAACAGAACAGAATAGAATAACAAAAATTCTGTAACTGCTCACAACCTTGGCACAGGTGGCTGTGATTGGTCATCAATGAAAAACAATCCACATGGACCAATCATAGATGCACCTGTTGCATTCCACAGCAGCAGATAGTAATTGTTTACATTTCTCTCCTGAGGCTCCTCAGTTTCTCAGGAGAGGAAAAATCCCAGCAAAGGATTTTCTTAATATTATAGCTACAACATTACACATGAATCATGCCACTGGCAGAAGGGAATAACCGCGGACTTCTTCCTGTCCTCCAAGGATGGGGAAGGTACCCTAAAGTCAGCTGTGGTGTGTCAGCTGGAGAAGGTGGGTGGGAGGTCAGGGTGAAGGAACATGTACCTTAATGCTGGTGCCTTTCAGACCTGGATCAGCAGAGCCTGCACAGTGAGCCAGAGGAGTCATTTTCCAAGGACCTGGCAGAGTTTCCATCTGTGGAAGAATATCATTCCAGAGACCTGGGGCCACAGAGCGATGAAGACGCGTTTGGTGTGCCTCTGGGTCCTGAGCTTGCCCACGCTGCCTGTGAGCTGGACTCAGCAGACAAAGAGGCCACGGACTCTGACCTCTCCATCCTTCGCCTCGCGTCTCCTCTCCATTTTGTAAATACGCACTTCAATGGGAGTGGGCAAGTGGCAGGAGGCAATGCAGAGCCAAAGACTGTCCCTGCCCCAGGCCTGGGCATCTGCATTAACACGCTGAGCGAGGAGATCGTCACCACTGCCATCACCACAGCTGTGCAGAATACCCTCTCTGCCCTCCTGCGGTCCTCAGAGGCCAGTGAGGGACCCCCCCTCTCTGAGTTCCTCCCCACAGAGCCTGAAGAGAAACTGAGCTTCCAAGCACACCTGTCAGAGAGCGAAGTGGTGGAGACAGAGACAGAAGCTTCACCGGAGGATGAGGAGGAAGCAGATGACTTTGAGCTACTGGATCAGGGGGAGCTGGAGCAAATGGATGTAGAGCTGGGGTTCGGAGAGGAGCAGGAGGCACAAGAGGCTGCTCCATCTCCCTCCTCTCCCATGCTTGCTGAGCTGCCAAAGCAAGGAGATGAGGAGGAGGCAGTGATGACAGCAACATCTATGTCTTAGGTCTTACCTGTGCTCCCCCTTTTCCTCCATCATCACTGGAAAGAAGGAAAAACTCACACAGTGAACGTGCAGTGGGTTTTTAGATGTTTGTGTTGACTGGGATGGAAACGCATCAGTGTTAATGTGCTGTGTCTGGAATAATGAAACCTTTCCATCCTTCTAGAGCCTGGCCTTCACTGGCTGAGCAGGAGGCCCTGCAGCTGGGGAGGAGCCAGCTCCTAGAAGCCTTATGCCACAATTGAAACACCAACCCCAGCAAACGCTTCCTAGTAATGGTGCAGTATTTCGGTCTGTCTTCTGTTTGTCTTTTGTTTTGCACGCTGAGTACCGAGCTAGCTGTAGCTGCTGCTAATACCCACATCCCCAGTAGGACATATGCAATCTTATTTTATTGGGTTTTTAAATGGCTAAAAGTGTAAATAATTTTAACTTTCATTGGTTTTGTCTGGGGGGAGGGATGGGGGGGTGCACAGTCAAATGTGGCTCTCAGGGGCAAGCAAAGGGAAAGGGGTCTTTGGAGCAGAGGGTGGCAGTAAGGGGGCAAGGGCAGACTGGTGTTGTGCAAAGAGACCTCTTCTGCAGACTGTTACTGTCTTTTGTGTCACTGCTGGAACAGGGTGTTGGGCAATACCTGCTTTTTTTCCCTGTCTCATTTCAGTTCTGTTACTGGGTGGCTGTGGAGTTGATCTTTTTGCAGTCAATGAAATTCACTCCTGGCCCTGTTCAGTACTCCAGTTTTTTGCTGCCGTGGCATCTCTTGCCTTCCGCACCACTGACCCTTCTAGCACCCCATCTGTGCTCTGCTGGGCATTGTAGCATGGCACCTGGAGACTCCGAGGTGACCGGAATAGAGCCAGGAGCTTTGTTACACGGCAGGATCCGTGGTTTGTTTCCCTTGGGGCAGGGGAGGAAGGATGGAGGGATGAAAGTTCAAGCTGTCCCATGGCAGCAGACACTTCTTGCCGGCCTGGCAGGGCAGGATGGTTCTGGCGATGGCCCTCGTGGACTCCGCCTTGCCCTGAGCCTTCCCCCGGCGCCGGGCAGGTCTCTGGAGCTCATCTTCCCACGGGTGCCAGCGGCGCTCCCGGCGGAAGGGCACGCGCAGGGGGGCGGGGCGGGCCGCGGGGCGGGCCGCGGGGCGGGGCTGTGCCTGCTCCCGCCCTGTGACGCCCCGCCGGAAGCGGGCGCGGCGGAGCCGCCTGGGGCGGGCCGCGGGGCGGGCCGCGGGGCGGGGCTGTGCCTGCTCCCGCCCTGTGACGCCCCGCCGGAAGCGGGCGCGGCGGAGCCGCCGGTGCCGGTGGCGGCAGTGCCGCCATGGAGTTCCCGGACCTGGGCGCGCACTGCTCCTGGCCCGCCTGCCAGCGCCTGGGTGAGCGCCGGGGGACCCCGGGGGTGGGCACGGCTCGCACGCCGGCGAGACCGCCGCGGTTTTGGGCCTGGGCGGCACGGAGCGGGCAGCCCGGCCTGCGGGGAGGCGGCGGGGCGGTGCCGGGCGCCGCTCGGTAGCGGCGTTGAAGGGCGGGACGTGTCGCCCGTGCTGCCCATGGCAGAGGGGTCCCTGATCATTCCTGCTGCCCGCGGGCACCCCGCTAGGGCGGGGCTGGCTGTCGCTGCCGGTAGACCGGGTGGCTCTGTCCGGGTACGCGGCTCTACCGGGTGGGCAGCGGCTCTTGCCCGGGGATAGCGGGGCAGGGCCCGGACAGGCACCCCCCTGCCGGGCCTGGATGCTGCAGGCTGGGGAGGCCGCACGCGGCGGGGCCGCTGGGACCCGTCCGTAGCCCGGTTATCCCGGTGGGCGAAGCCCGTAGCGACTGTCAGCATCACTTCCCACCGGTTTGAGGCCGCCCGCGGGAAGCTTGGTGTCATTCAGGATGCTACTCCTGATCTCGGGGACCGCACGTTTTGAGGAGGAGCCCTGGGTATTTCTGAAGACGTGGCTATGGACCTGCAGCCCTTTTGTTTTCATGCTGGGGGATGAGAGGTGCGGCCCTGGCTTTGTCCCGGGTCACTGTTTTGCCTTTGGGAAGTCGGGGAGGCCCCTGGGCTGCGGGTGGGCAGTGCTGATCTCCATGCCATGTCCTGCTCCTAGACTTCCTTCCTCTCAAATGCGATGCCTGCGAGCAGATCTTCTGCACCGACCACATCGCTTATGCCCAGCACGATTGCACCTCTGCCTACAAGAAGGTAAGTGCAGGGAGCAGATCTCATCCACCCTCCTGCATGGAGCTGCTGAGCTTTTCTAGCCACCAATCATAATAATCTGTAGTGACTTTGGTCGCTTGAGCAGTCCCCTTTGGGATGTGCAGAGTCTGAAGATGTACCTCAAAGCCAGGATCTGCATCTTAGTGCCACAAACATCCAGCCCTCCCTCTCCCACTGGGTGGAGTGGTTTGGGCATCTCCCAGCCACACCGTCTTCTCTCCCGGAGTGTATGTCTGTGCCTCTGCACCTGCTGTGCAAGCTGGTTGGAGGGTCATGAGCAGGATCTCAAACTGCAGCTGAAGCTGTGGAAGCCATGGTAGGCAGATCCTGAAAGGGAGAGCGATGACTGTGCAGTGCTCAAGGTTGCCCAGCTCCCTGTTGTTGTCTCTGCAGGATGTGCAGGTCCCGGTGTGTCCCCTCTGCAACACGCCAGTCCCTGTGAGGCGGGGGGAGATGCCTGATGTTGTGGTGGGTGAGCACATTGACCGTGACTGCAAGTCTGACCCCGCACAGCGCAAGCGCAAGGTGTGTACTGCGGGGCTCTGCCAGAGCCTGGCAATGGGATGAAAACAACACAGATTCAGCCCTGCCTGGTGCTATCTCTGGCACAGGCTGATCCAGGGAGGGTTGATGAGCTGCAGGCATCCGCAGGGCTTTGTGGAGGGTGTCAGGGGAGCAGGGCGGTGATGGAGTGGGGCTGGGCAGCCACGTGGGACATAAGGATGGTAAACTGCATGCTGCTATTAGGAAAATGCAATTGGCAATTAGCTACCCCATCTTGCCAGGAGATGAAATTGCTGCAGGGAGCTGACCCTAGAGGAGTCCAGCCCAGCAGCAGCTGGAATGCCCTGGCCTATCCCCACTGGGCTGGTATGGAAGGCAGGAGTCCCTGGGCAAGGCACTCTTTTCCTGCTGTGCATTCTGTGGCTATGGAGACTCTTGTTTATGGAGACTGAGGCACCAGTGAATTACTAATAAGCTATCTAAAGAAATTATTCAGAGACATCTAAAGAAAGTATTTGGAGACAAATTTCAGAGCCTTGCAGAAGAACACTGGTGGGGAAGGCTGGTCAGTGCCCAGGGCCTGCCATGGAGAGAGGGGACAGCCCACAGCATGTGCTCCTTTTCAGCACTGCCGTGTCATCTTTCAGATCTTCACCAACAAGTGTTTGAAGCCTGGCTGCAAGCAGAAGGAGATGATGAAGGTGATCTGTGACCAGTGCCACAAGAACTACTGCCTCAAGCATCGGCACCCCCTGGACCATGACTGCAGTGGGGCAGGGCATCCCCTTTCCAAAGCAGGGTGAGGGCCTGAGAACAGACAGCCTGGGAGGGGTGGGGCTGTGTTTGCCAGATTGGTGACAGGGAAGAATCCCATTGTCTGGGTCTGCTGCATTCTGACACTCCCTGCCCTGTGTGCCAGGGTGTCCTGCAGCACCAAGCACACTGGTATACACAGTCTTTCCTGCAGCAAAAACTGTCAGTACTGCCTGCTGGCTGCTTTGCTCTTGCTTCTTTCCCCAACCCCTTATTCTGTAGCCAGTCGTTTCTGCCTGTCCTGGTAGAGGGTTTTAGGGAGAGAAACAGCACTAGAAACTCCTGGGAATAACAGCCGCAACATGGGAGGAGAAGGAGCCAGGGAGGCATCTTGCTTATCCAGCTTGATATCCCAAGATGCCTGGGAATTGCTCATGATAGTAAACAGTTTCTCACAGGTGTCCTGTCTGTCCTAGGCATGCTGCAGTTACCAGAGCTCAGGCATCTTCCTCCAAAATAGTCACCGCATCAAGCAGTGGAGCTGCCCGGCCAGCAGACAGCTCCTCTTCCCTGGCCTGTGCCAGGTAAGGTGATGGCCTCACTTGTAATTCTGAGGTGGGCATGACCAGGCTCATCTTGGCTCTCTGTGGAATGCCAGAGCGACAGCTCCCTTCTTCTTGTGCCACAGCAGGACCGATAGTCATACTAGAGCTCCCTGCCTTGACAATAACGCGGCTTTTCTTCTGCTTGCAGGGGAGGCAGAGCAGCTGCGTCGCAGACTCGCAGCACCTCCCCTCCAGCTGTCATGCTGCAGAATGGGCTGGTGAGTGGCTTGGCCTGGCCATTTGGGGTGGTTTCTGTGCCCTCTAAGAAGTGACTGCAACAAATGCTTTCTAGCTCACACTCTGTGACTAGGTGACTGTGCTCCCAGCTGTGTCTTCCCTGGCAGACAGTGATCCTAAATGCTCTGTGGGAAATCAGAGCTTGCTCTGGTGCCTGCAAATGACAGCTCTCTGCTGCACTTGTTGCTTAGCTTTCCCCAAAGGGACAAAGTGCACCAGCCATTTTCCTTGGGTGTTGTCTTTCTGCAGCACAACCAAAGGCTGAAAGAGACTGGAAGCTGTTTTCCACTGGTATTCTTGGCATACTCCTGCATTAGCAAGCAGGGATGTGTCCCCTTGGGCAGGGGCAGAGCATTGCTCTCTGTCCAGAGCCCCAGTTTTTCACCTTGGCTGTGTCTGGTCTCCTGGAGAGAGAAGATTTGCCCACCCTTGGCCAGGAAAACTGTACCTACCACATGCGCTTCCTGCCCCCTACCCTGGCCAAGCTGGTGACAAGATGTTTTGTTTCAGAGCGAGGAAGAGGCACTGCAGCGAGCTCTGGAGATGTCCCTGGCAGAGTCGGCACGCAGCTCAGCACAGCAACCCAGGTACAGCCCCAAAACACGTGGTGTGGTGTGGTGTGGTGTGCACTCCCCTGTGTGTGAGAGGGGCCTGGGCAAGCATCATGTGGCTCTGGGATAACATTCCTCTCAGCACGTGTTTCCATATGATGCCTCTGTGGCTGACAGGGGGAAAAAAGGAAGAGTCCAGAGCAAACAGGGAACTGTTCAGCAAGCAAGCCCTCAGCCCTAGGGGTGCTGATAGGGGACAGTGACTGACACACAGAGTAGGGCAAACCATTGTCTGACCACTTGTCAGCTAATGGGTTTGGCTGGAGCATGATAGGTGGAGTAGGGGTGTTCATGGAGGGTACCCAGGAGCTTATGTCCCCAGGCACAGTGCCCAGTGCTGCTAAAAGCACCATCTTACAGATTGGACTTAACATGGCTCTCCTTGGCCCAGATTTCTGGCTTCTAGCCCCAGCTGGATCCTCTGCTCCCTCCCCAGCCCCATGCCTGTTCAAAGTTATCCTCAGTTGCTCCTTGCCTTAAGATATGCTGAGGGGTTGCAGTGAGATGCTGAAACCCAGAAGGGCTCTGAGCACTCAGCCCATGAGCCTGAGGGAGGCTGAGGCACACACTGCACTACTGTCCCAGCAGCACACAGGAGGAGGAGGATCTGGCACTGGCCCAGGCACTGTCAGCGAGCGAAGCCGAGTACCAGCAGTCGCAGCGGCAGGTGAGTGAGGCTGGCTGTGGGCTCTGAGCTGCTGTGGGCTTGATCCTGGCCTAGCTGTTTGAGGGAGGGGGCCTCCCTGGGTTCTGCTTACTCTGGGCTCTATCTAGCCTGCGTTTCTTCACAAGGAGGGCAGCCCAGCCTGGGGCAGTGGCAGCATCACTGCTGAGCACTCATCTCTGGGAATCTGAGCACTAGATGTGCCCTGTTGTAGGAGGGAGGAAGAAGCCTGCTTGCCCTTGCTCACTGTGTGCTCCTTTCTGTTCCAGGCACACGGTTCAAAGCCATCCAACTGCAGCATGTCGTAGGCAGGTGAGGCGGGGTGTGCCAGCAGACACAGCATCCTGCTTGTGACCCGAGGAGCGGCTCTGGCCTCCCACATGGATGCCATGGGGTTCTGTCCTGGACACTGGTACCAAGAGCCCCTTGCCAAGGACAGCTCATCTCCCTGGGAGCTGAAAGCAACCAAATATACACTGACACTTCAGCCCTAGTACGTATATAAAATTAGTGCAGCGAATTGCTGATGCTCCTGGGGAGGTGAAGAGTGCACAGGATGGAGCTGGGTACACACTGACCAAAGCAAGCAGCAGCCCAGGGTCTGCACTTACCTGCAGTTGCCACGGCCGTGTCCCAATACTGCTGGGACTGTGGGGAGAGGGCACAGCTGTGTGGGGATGTCTCTGCACGTTCAGACATACAGCTGGAATGTAGCTGGCTTCTGTAGTGGGGGGCTGGATTCCATGCTCTGAGGAGGGCTGTGCCAGCCCCTCAGCAAAGAGCAAATGTGCTGGGATCGTATCTTGCCTGGGCATGGCACAGCTGAATGTGTGTGCACAGCTTGCCTGTGTGGCACAGCCTCCCAGCAGTGTGAAAGCAGCCCCTTCCCTGCTCCCCACACCCTCAGGTGCCTCCCTGCTGTTTGCATGTACAAGAGCACGTTGGGCCTTGCCTTGCTCGGCTGGGGCACAAGACCTCTCTGAGACTGAATGGAGCTGCATTTCCTTTCTGGTTTAATATAATAAGTAACCTTGGCAGTGACTTGAATGGCAGCGTCACTCACATGGGATGGTTGCAGCTCCCTTCCTGCTGCCCTAAACTTAAACAGGGCCCTGTTTAAATGCTGCTGGGGTAGGAATGCCTCATTTCTTCCAGTTGTGTTGCTGGGGATCCCCTCCTGGATAGCAATAGCACAGAACCCCTCCTTACAAACAAAGCCCTGAGCCTAGAGCCTGGTTGGGCAGAGGGGATTTGTCCTGCTGGCCTCCTGCAGTGAGTCTGCAGCCATGCAGAGCTGTGCTGCTTTCCCACCAGCAGCTGTAACCATTCCTGCAGGGCTGTGCCTGGTTCTGCACAGGACTGGGCTGTCCTGCTCTGAGCATCTGAGGGAGGGGGGGTTCAGGCTGGGTCCAGGGAATGCTGAGACTTGTCAAAGTGCTGCTTGGGAGAGAATAAAAGCATAGCATAAGGTACAGAGGTACCTGAGGGAGCAGTCACTTGGTGTCCAGCCCAGAGTGGCACATCTCTGTGGATGGTGGTTGAAGTGGGGGGCACATTGGGATGAGGGGACACCAGCTGCCCTGCTCTTCCATTACTGCTGGGGTGCAGCCCCCTGCCAAGCTCAGCCCTTTGTGTGGGAATGGGGAAGGCACTCACAGCCTGCTCAGCCCCTTGCCCACGTAAGCCCAAGGAGCTCAAGCTTGTGGCAGAGCTGCCGGCTGACCCAAGGGCACAGGCACTAACCCTGCCTGCCCCCACCAAGAGGCGTGTCAACCCTGCCGGCTGACGCAGAGCACACAGGCATGGACCTGGGAAGGACCTGGTTTAAGAAATTACACAACAGCAAAACAAACATGTACAAATATAGTGGAGTGTCCAACCAAGCCCCTGCAGCTCTAGGGCAGGCCGGGCCCTTGCCTGCAGCCAGCAAAAGACTCCCAGGCAGTGTGGGGGCCTGGACCCAAGTCAGCGTCACAGCAGAACTCCTGGTCTTGTTCATGAAGCTTTCTTGCTGCTCTGGGGCTTCTCAGTGTGGTGCTCCTTGCTCTCTCCCTCGTCCCCAGTCTGCTGCTGCAGCCACATGCCAGCGTACACACCTCCCTTCTGCAGCAGCTCCTCATGCCTGGGAGGAGAGTGAAGGGATGCAGGGTCCCGAGCTGGCCCCAGAGCCAGGGAGGGGGTCCCCTCCCCCAGCACTCCGCTTGTGCTCACCTCCCTCGCTCCACAATGTGTCCATCCTTAAGCACCAGGATCTGGTCTGCACCTACCACAGTGGAGAGCCTGCAGGGAAAAGCAGGTGTTACCCTGACTTGGGTGGCAGAGGGTTCCTGAGGGTTTGCACGGTGCCAGGAGATGCAGCCCCAGGGGCTCTCAGGTCTGTGTGCCCCTCTTGCGGGGTCTGGCCAGCACCTCCTGGATCAGCCCTTTCCCCTTGTCCCTACCTGTGTGCAACAACGATGGTGGTGCGATGGGCGCAAACCTTGGCCAGAGAAGCCTGGATGTGCCTCTCAGTCTCTGTGTCAAGTGCAGATGTGGCCTGCAAGGTGAGATGCAACATGAGGAAGGGATAGAGGTCGTGTGGGCAGCTGCTAGGCATGGGGCTGCTGCAGAGCTGGGTGGGGCTGGGCTGGGACCACTGCTGTTACCTCATCCAGCAGGATGATGTGGGGACCCTTCAGGATGGTGCGTGCGATGGCAACGCGCTGCTTCTCACCCCCGCTCAGCTTCAGCCCCCGCTCTCCCACCTGGGTGTTGTATCCTGCAGTCACAAGAGCAGAAACATGATGTACTGGTGCCCTCTGAAATGGAGATGGGGACCTGCTGCCCTGGGAGGACCTGCTGCGACCACACAGCCACATGGTGGAGCCTCACCTTATCCCAGTCCAGGGGCTGATCTAGCCCTGGAAAGAAGGCAGGGAAAGGCAAAGCAAGACACATAGTCATGCAGATGTCCCCGTGGGAGATGTCACCCAAGGATACCTGTGAGGGCAGCTAGAAGGTCTTAGGGGACCATGGGATGGCGGGAACTGCAGGGGTCTCACCATCAGGAAAAGAAAGGATACGGTCGTGGATGTCAGCAGCCCGGGCTGCCTCCTGTACCTCCTGGTCAGTGGCCAGGATCCGTCCATAGCGGATATTGTTGGCGATGGTGTCGTTGAAGAGCACTGTGTCCTGGGGCACCACCCCAATGTGAGCACGCAGCGAAGCCTGCTTCACCTGGGAGGCAGGGGAGAGGGCTCAGGCAGACACACACCAAATGCAAAGATCCCTCCAAAACCCAATCCTATCCTCAGCCATGAGCCCCATTCCTTGCAAGCTGTGTGCTGTAGGGTCACCCTGCTCCACAGGCTCAGCTGCATCTCCACTCTGCAGGGGTGCCCTAACAGTGCCCTAGTCCTTCCCAGGGAGCCATGGTCAGTACCCAGCATTTCAGTCAGGGATCCCAGAGTCACGCCATTCTGTCACTTCTGGCACAACAGAAATCAGCCTGCAAAGGGGCTCTGGGGGCTGCATGCTCACCCCTGCCCTGGGGAGGTGCTGGTGCCTGCACTGAGCAGTGCAGTGAGGCCCAGATGAGCTGGTGTGTCCTCCCCAGTCCTTGGAGGCCCTCCCCACTCACCTGGGAGATGTCCTGCCCATCAATGCGGATGCAGCCACCCCGTACATCGTAGAAGCGGAAGAGCAGACGGATGATGGTGCTCTTTCCAGAGCCTGATGGTCCCACCTAATACAAAGGAAAAGAGACTTGGAGATGGCCAATTCCCAGCTGCTGGAGGCCAGGGGCTGGAGAGGATGGGGGCTGTCCTTCCCACCTTTGTATTTTCCAGCCTCTCTATCCCCATCCTTCCCTCCCACACTGAACTCACAGTCCCGCTCTCACCAGAGCCAGGGTCTGCCCAGGCATCACAGAGAAAGAGACATCCTGCAGGATTTCCTTCCTGGAAGAGGAACATGGAGAGGGGCTCAGGGCCACTCCACAGCTCTACATCCCTAGAGCAGGTCCCCCACTGTGCCCAGTACCCCATACCCATCCACATAGCTGAAGTGCACGTTCTCAAACTCAATCTGCCCAGCCTCCAAGCGCAGGTCGCTGGCGTTCACCACATCCTTCACCTGTCGAAGTAGAGGCTCAGGCTCAGAGCCAGCCAATCCCCAGGGCAGGCCCGGCAAGGGAGCAAGGTCCAGGAAAGGTGGCACCCACCTCCTGCTCCTCGTGGAAGAGCTCAAACATATTTTCCATGTCCACAAAGGAATTCTGGATCATCCTGAAGAGGGCAAAGACCAGAGAAAAGGGTTTGGAGGAGCACATACTGACCCAGTCACCCATGGAGAGGGGGACACCAGGCACTTCCACACCTCCCAGCATTACCTATAGTAAGTCCCAAACCAGTTGAGTGGTGTGTAGAGCTGGATTATGTAGGTGCCAAAGAGGACAAAATCCCCCACCTGGAAGGGACAGGGTACAGGGGTCTGTAGCCACCAGCCCCAGGGCCCCACCTCAGCAGGGGTCTGCACAGGCTGGCACCAGCCTTACCTGCAGCTTGTTTTCAGTGACAAAGTAGGCACAGAGCAGGGACCCTGCCAGCAGCCCTAGGCCAATGACCAGGTTCTGGGTCTGGTTGAGGAGGCCCAGTGAGGCACTGACCTTCCACTCTGAGACCTGGAAGAGACAAAGTCCTGTGGGATGCTGCTGCCTCAAAACCAGACCCATGGTGATCTCCATCATCCCCACAGGTGCCTGTGAGGTTTGGCTTCTTCCCCCTTGGTGCCCCTAAAGGTACTGAGCACCCCGTACCTGGTACTTGACAATGGCATCGTTAAAGCGGTTCACCTCATAGCTCTCTGCATTGTAGTACTTCACCTGCAGGAGCAGAGCTGGTATGAGCACCCAAGCAGTCCTCAGTGACCCCCCCACCCAACTCCTACAGTACCGTCTCGAAATTGAGGAGCGAGTCCACGGCCCGGGACTTGGCCTCATTGTCCCGTGTGTTCATGTCCCGACGGTACTTTGTTCTCCACTCAGTGATGAAGATGGTCAGAGCTGTGGACAGCAGGAAGCTGCATTGCAAGGCTCCTGCCCTCCCACAGCCTGGCAGCCCTGCACCCTGAGCCCCCCCACTCACTCAGGTACAGGCTCATACACACGAAGATGATGAGGCCAAACCAAGCGCTGAAGACCGAGGTGAAGTAAACTATGCTGATGACAATATCCGCAATGGTGGGGAAAATGCTGAAGACGATGTAGCTGGGGGGTGGGAGGGGAAATGAGGCATCAGCCCAGCCCTGTGGGGCTGCCCAGCCAACCCCCCACCCACCACGGGCACACTCTGACCTGAGCAGGCTGTTGATGCTGCTGGTGCCCCGGTCCACGCTACGCAGGACCTCACCAGTGCGACGGCCCAGGTGCCAACGCAGGGACAGCCCGTGCAGGTGGGCAAAGAGCTGCACCTGCACCTGCCTGTTGGTGAACTGCTGCACCCACACCCACAGGAACGTGCGCAGGTTGCTCACAAAGCCAGTGGAGCCTGCAGGGCAACAGGGACAGGTCAACCGAGATCAGCCCCAATGGGGCATGCAGAAGACTTCCAAAAGTCCAGCTGGGAAAGGGGGATTTGAGATGAAGCCCACTCACTCTCCTTAACCTGGGACCAGCCCAGATTCCTGATTGCAAGAGAGCAGCAGCGATGGGGCACATGGGCTTCCCTGACCACCCCAGAATGGTATGATGTGCCCCATATCATCTCTCGTCAGTGCCCCATCCTTCCCAATGGTCCTTACCAGCACCTCCACCTTGCAGGAACTTCAGCCCCACATAGCTGCAGACGGTCCAGGCCAGGGTGTGCCAGGGAGCACCCACTGTCAGCTCATTCACTGTGGGAAGTGTGCCAAGGGTTAGGATAGAGGGACAAGGAACATCCCAGGGTGCCTGTGGGAGCCAGCCCCAGTAGCCAGTGCTGGACCCTGACCCCCTGGACTCTGCTCCTTCCAAACCCTGCAACCCTCCAGGTCACTTCAACACTCCCCAGCACTTGGTGAGGCTGTGGTGAGCCTCACACACCAAGCTGCAGGTGCCTCACCAATGTTCTTGTAGTAGATGGGGACGAAGACATTGATGGCCCGCTCCAGCCCCATGAGTGCCATGCAGAACAGCACCAGCCCCTGCAGCAGGTAGTTGCCCTTTGGCCACATGTACGGCACCAGCAGCCGCAGCTTCCTCCGGAAATCCTTCCAGGTGGAGGTGGTCCTGCTGGCATCAGTCAGGAGTGGCTGGGGGAGAGCAGACCAAGGAGTCATTGCCCTGGCACCCCAATCCAGCTGGCAATGGTCCTGGGCAACACCCCAAGAAAACCAGTCCTACTCCAGAGTGCCCACTCCATCCTCCAAACAGGGCTGCATCCTAGTGACAGCACACAGGGAGCTTGGGCAGCCATAAACCTTGTACTCCCACATCTCATGAAGATGCTGATCCCAC